CCCCCGCCCCCCCCCGCCACCTCCAAGCAATAATTGCCCCCCAGGTGAACCTGCCCCGAGGGCGATGCTTATTTTTTCCCGGGGGATGCGCTCTCTCCAATTTTTGCGCGTTACATTTGTTGGCTGCCAAGCACACACACGACACCTTGAAAAACGCCTCAAAATCCTCTGGGCACCACCTGTCTGGAGCCCTCAAAATCTTTCGGTCAAGGTTTCTCGATTTGTTTGGGCCAGGATGGCTTGAGCCGACATCGCCGAAGGTGCGCATGGGCAGACAAAGGCAACTTTTCTTTTCATCTTTTATAATCTCTCCCCGAGGGCATGTTATTACGTGACGTACGGCGAGCCCCCCCCGCTGCTGGCCAAGTCTTAAGCAAGTTGCAGAATGTACGCCTGAAGAGGTCAAAATGCCCCCGGAACACGTTTTGCACTCCTCTTCTACTGCTCAAAAGCCCTCGGGCAAAACCACCATTACCATCCAATGCATTCAAAATTGGCCCCCATGGTCTAAAAGAAAAGCAAAGCACACCACGTCAATCAACATCTGAGTCTACAGACTGGCTCGGTCTCCTGCGTCCATTTCTACTACTGTACCTAGTCCCCATCAGCACCAGAAGCCTCCGGGGGGGCTGGCGGAAAAGGTCGCGCGAAAAGACCGCGCTGAAGATTTCCATCCACCAAGCTCCTCTTGCCTTGTAGGGGAGGGAGGGGGGGGATCCGCGGCCGAAATCAAGCACCGCCTTCCCCCCTACAGCACTCACACAAAACCAACGAGGACCTTCTGAAGAGGGTCCAACAACAAACACCCGGTGGTTATGAGGAGTGAATCCTTGACACATCTGCTTGAGTGCTCGATCGATACTACACCTTTACGGGGATACAAGGTTGTTGTAGCGGCAGCATGCTGTAACCCGGAAAGAACGGAAAACATCAAACCAGCGTGTGGCTGGTACGAACGGATATCTAAAAGCTGCCCGCCCCGAATGGTACAAATACTTGTCATGATGGACAGCACACTCATACCATACTAACGCCTCTATACAAAGAAAAAAACAAGGAGGGGGGGAGGGAGGGCAGACAGTCCCCGGGATCGAGACAGCAGCTGCAAGCGGAAGCCAGTTCCATATGCTATGCATATGGTGACCCACTTCATTCGAAGCGCACTTTCGCCCGACTACAAGTTGATCAAGATCAAAACAAACCAGCGAAAAAACTTCGTCCTTCCCGTCTCCAGCAGTGGGAGATGAGACCAGGTCTTTCGCTCAGTCAGTCGCCACCACCACGGTTCCTAGTTCCTAAGGCTGCCGTCCGTACCCCTCCGTCGACCACGGTCTTGAGTCTTGTGTCGGTTGTTGTTGCCGGTTTTTGTTAGCTGTTAGCTGTTAGCGAGACCCTGGCAGAGGGGGCTCCGGAACTTGCTCCGTAATCCCTCCCTTTCCCTTCTTCCTGAGCTTTGCCAGCCCAGCCTGGATGGATTGAGAGGGAGGGGTCAGGGGGTTGTGTTGGCGATGGTGCACGGAGCGATGGTACAGCAGTATACATACACTTGTCGGGGATATCAACTCAAGGAGCACGACACGCGTGGTGCAAGCAAGTTTCCCAAACAGAATATATCACATCAACACCCTCCCCTTCACTCTGTCCCGAGTCCCACGCGGAACAGCACCAACTTCTTTAAATGCTTGGTTGGAATGGAAGGAATGGAAGGGATGGAAGGAAAGCCGAGAAAGAGCGAGGAAAGCCACGTTCGACCATTCAACAGGCCACAACGACAGCCGCCACAGGGGCAACAATTCGATTCCGACAACTCACCGGTACCGGGACGGAGCTGAAGTCTATCTTATCGGGGACTGGGAACTCCTCATCGTCTGCCAAGACTCGCGCCTTGAACGTGCCTTCATCGATGAAAGTCGTCTTCAACCCGAACCTGTGAAACCGAAAAAACAACAACATCGAACGCATACATCAGCGGTGAGGTAGAGCAGCATGCATACAGTGGAGGTAGGGGGATCAGCCCAACTAGATGACTGGGTTCTGGCTTATGTTCCAATGGTGACATAGTACGACAGCAGTCGAACCTCAATCTTCGTTTTTATCTTGGAAGGTATGCAGACCCGGCAGCAACTAATCTATCTACTGTATCGTTTCCCCACACGGACGAGCTACAGTATTGGCCAGCCGACCAAGGCTTTCTTCTCGATCATCCATCTATCATATCTCCTGCTAAATGTGCTAAGTGTGCTCATTCTCCGGTCTCACGGATCGCTCGCGTATGACCCATCCCACCCTATGTGCTAGTGTGTGCCATCATACCCTGCCGCACCCCTCCACGTCCCTTCCCTTCCCTTCCCTCCAACCCACTGCTAACACGCTGCAAATATGCAACTACAATACTTCAACACAAGAAACTCACAATATTTGTGATGACAACAATTGTACATGAAAGAACCTCACAAGCTACCTTCGGCGTGAGGATCTGACAACACACCACATAAACTCACAAGCCAGTCTTCTCGCTGATGATCTGGCCCCCCTGAAGCACGACGCTGCCGTCGGCGCCCTTGCGTAGCGGTACCCTCCAGAACAGCAGGGCGCTCGGTACGTCGAACATTACACCGTACATCTCCGTTAACGGGCAGCTGAACTGCAGGTAGTCGGTACCCTCCTCCTCCTATCATTGAAAGGTGTGACGTGTGTGTCGAAACATCGTCGTCGTGGAAGGGCATGTTGGTTTGCGGCGAGATATGTAGCGACGGTGGATGAAAGACACTGTGGCGATGGGCTCATGAACACAAGCTCTACCTACTTCTTCGTACAGCCTTGTTCAAGCTGACAGTCGGTGAACGTCTGCAAGTAAGCCAGCCTAGTCTACAGTTTTATGGCAAAAAAATAACACAGAAAAGCAAGCCCGTAAAAATACTCATTAGCAGTTCCAAGCGGCCAGAAACTCACGCGATTGGCATGCCACGCTAACAAAAAGATTCCCACAGACTACTGCGCGGTATTTCCAGAGAACATTTGTCCAAGAGCAAGAGGGACAGGGAGAGAGAGAGAGTCACTGTGTCTCACGCAGAACTGCCAACACGTCGTCGCAATTCAGTGGCTCCTGTGGGCTACTTCTTCATAGCTCTCCGCTTCTCATGAGACGGAGTGCTACGCCACACAGACGCCATCATTTAGTAAGCACATGCAGATCATCCATTTGACCACGAAACCCTCTTCACCAGGGAAATTCTCTGCTTATCCGCTTTAATAATGTTCCACACACGAACAGGGTGGTTTGTCTGGCGCACGCACGTCACATGCATTACGCACACACTGCACCCCAAAATTTATCAGTCGGAGGTCGGCGGGCATACATGCTACTTGAATGTACGCAATAAACGACGGACACATGACGCCTCATCAGCACGGGGCACAGTAGTACGGAAACGTTCTTCCTGGCGCCAGGCCACCTGGCCACAAACCACAACCATCGTCCTACATGCCATGCCATCACAAAGGAAGTATAAGAATGAGGATACTACCCGCCCTTCACCCTCCCGTGATCCTCTTCTATCTCATGTTTCGTGTCTGGCGCACTCATGAAATGCAGTGCAAAACAGGCAGTCAACAGTTGACATCACCAACAGTCAACACCGAGCACGCCTTTGACTGCACCGCGTTCGTTTCGTTCTCTCGTTCTCGTCATGTAGTGCACGATGATTCATCTGGGCGACTCCGCTTCCCAAAGGAGGCGAAGGAGGCAGGCGTGATGGGCCTTCACCCTTCACCTTGTCGAATGAGAAAAAACATCCACATCCTCATTCACATTCGTTACCTATGCCTATTATAATATTATATAGTATCGTTGTGTACATCGCCGCCGCCAGCCGTGCGATGTTCAAGGAATGTTTTCTTGGGCCGGGAAAATCAACAACAGAATCAACAACACCATCAATGACAGTAGCAAGGCTTGTCTGATGTCTGACCTGTCTGATGCTATGCATACCGATGTCATCACGTTCGACGAATGTGGCGTTCACGCCCTTGACAAAACAGTGGTCGAGAAATCCGCCCCACTCCACCACCGGGTCATCAAATCATATCTAACACAAAGGATACATCTCATGCATGTGTATGTTCGCGTGTTCTCGCCCCCACCATATTCTGGCGCCAGTCTACACCATACTGTTAATATTGACCTTAATCAAGGATTACACGGGGAAATGGGATGGTCACACGGCACACAGGAGCAGGTATGGCAACCCTTGCATGAATAGGGCGTGCACAAAGAACACCAAGATGTGGCGTCCCGCAGCAGTCGGCGGATCACCTCGACACGCCACGCGCCCTTCTCCTTGGCCACCATCCCCTTAGAAAACACGCAGTCCCCGCTCTTGAGCAGCTCCAGCTGGCACGTGCGCTTGAAGTAGCCGAAGGCCTTGAACTCAACAATTAATCTTCGGCCGCTGATCTCGTCCACCTCCACCACCTCAGAGGTAAGCTGGTTGTTCGCCACCTTCAAAGGAGAGCCAGACCGAAAAGTAAGAAAACAAGCACAGACCGAAGGAAGCTTGGCTTGAGAGAAACATGATACGGAGCAAACCGTCACCGAAGATCAAGAGAAAGAGGCGAACGAAAAGAAAATCCGTCGTGTGCCCTGTCTTGCAGAAATACCAGTAACAAGATGTTCTCGCTCTGGGCGCTGGTTCTTGTGTCACCACGGCCCGCAGCAGTACCAGTCAAGTCACTGCAGTCACTGCTAAAAGCCCCCCTCGTAGCCCCAGGAGCGGTATTGTGGTGTTGTGGTATTGTACATAACTATCGATAGAGGCGAGCCGACAAAAAAAACATCATGAAAAATGATACATGTTGGATTGAAGAGGGTGGTCGTAGTTTAGACTTGGCTGCAGACACGAGGGTCGTGAGGCCTCCGTTACCGGTAACCGTCATCGAAACCTCAGAACGATTTCCCGTACTGCTGTACTTTGCATACTGCTGTATACTAAGTGCATATTTGAAAGGGGGTGTAATGTTTATCGTGTTGGAAGAAATAATTCGAGGTAAGGCCAAAGGGTATTGGTGGCATGTAGCGATATTTGCCAAGTGAGAGAGTAGTGGTAGGTGCGGGTTCCTGTAGTAATCATTGACCTTCATTGCATATCTTTCCCATGTGGGAACGAACATGCTCTCAGCGGTTCACAAGCTTGTCCGGAAGCAGCGGCAACCACAATAATTACTGTCGGACTAGAACTCAAGTCGGTCGGAAACGCGAGAGCAGTTTCTTGGCCATCAAGCATTGACACACGGGAAAAAAGACAAAACGATCGCCGTTGCGTCCTGTACATGTAGTGCTGGAAGGCTCAAAGGCTTGAGAAGGAGCTGTGTTTAGGGTAGGTGCCATCTGCAGGTGGTTCAACGGCGTAGGCTCATGTGTCCGCAGACTACAGACCATCATAACGACGAGAACACAGAGTCAAGGGGTTCACAACAATTTCAAGTGTAAAAGGCATCCGCTTACAGCAGAATTTATTTCTACTGTTCACGCGGTAGCAATATACATAGTCGTCGACAAGAGCAACTACACGTACAATGAGGGAGGGACGAGTGCGAAACAACCCAGACCGCAGCAGTGTACTCCACAACGTAGCATGGACAAAATAATTGCCGTGCGTCGAGTTACGTACGTAGTTAAACAGCCACCAAAAAGATCCTGAGCAACGCCGGCAACGTGCTGACCATCTGCGCAAAGCAAAGCAGTGTCGGACTCCTTCAGCCAAACATGTGCGGTGGTGGATGGCGGCGGTCTCATACACAGCAGTTACATGTGCTTCGGCAACACGCCGTTTCCTGCCACCCTCCCCGGTTGTCCGTAAGGATCACATCACCAAAATTCTGACTTCTGGCGGCGTGGCTTTGTTCAACAGCACCACAGGTCAACGATGGCACCCCTCCCCCCAGGCCTCTACCCCCCCCCCC